TTCCACACTGTTTTCAGTGTCTATTTCCAACTCTATTTCTGTTCCTCCAACCTCTTCTTCATTTTCTACAATGGGATTTCTACCTCCTCCCCGTATATTTTCTTTTTTTCGACTTTCTCTGCCACTGAAAAAAATTCACTCCCCACATGTGCTACTTCTGTTTATTCTCCCGGAGGCAGAAATCTCCTGCCTTCCTATTTCCCCAGTCAAACCCTTACTTCCAACTACATGCTCACTCCTTTCAACTGAGTACCACGCTTCAAAAGGTCATGATGAAACAGAAGGAAGAGTGAACTAAAGTTTATGAATACCAACATGGGGAGAAGATTTCTGACAGCAGAGGGCTCTTCAAACCATCAGACAAAGGCAAAGTAAGATCTGATCTTTAGAAACTGAAGCTACAGATTCAAACTAGAGATTAGGTGCAAATATTAAACAGTGAGTAAAGCCAGTCAGGGAGATGCCTGATGCAAGGGTGAGGATTGCTCATCTCTTGAGGTTTTAAATTGGGATTAGACCTTGTTCTAAATCTCAGGCAGGAGGTAGGTTTTTGTAGCAGGAATCACTACGAGAAATTCTACAGTCTCATTCAGGTGGGGGATATGACTAAATTGTCACAATAAAGCTTTCTAGCCAAAGCATCTATGAGGAGGATGAGACAACACCACCCAGGACCTCTGTCCAGTTGAGAATCTATGTTGCTGTCCAACTGCTTGACTTTCACCAGGATACTACCCCTGGACTCTGCCTGTTACCTTCAGCCAGCACGTTTTGATAAATCTGAATCCTCCATACTCCTTTTGCCTACTAGGAAAATTCTCCTTCTTAGTCTAGCCTCCAGTCCCAGAGCCTGCTGAGTGCTGCAACGGAGGGAAAGACTTTAATCCACGCCAGCTGCATTTCTGAGAAGTCCTCCCTTAGGCAGAGGCTCCAGTCCCTGACACTGCTGCTGCTTAGAGCTGCTTTCAACTGCTTCTCTAAACTAATTCTTATCAGTGTCACCATTGTTCCCATAAGTATCAGCAACAAAATGGTCAAGGCTGTCCAGTTTTACTGTCTTGCAGACTGGGGAAACTATTAGTAGCAAGACAGCAGTAAGGCCAAAGATTTACGGAGCTGACTAAAACTCAGTTTGTACTCAGGTTGCATTCAAAAACACTATCTTTGGGACCAGATGTGTCAGAAGTATTATTTTTTAAATAAGCATAGCTTCAGTACTGTAGAATGGACAAGCATACTTCTAACAGCCATAGTTAGGTGGATTTTCCAACAGCTGTCTGGAACCATTCTGAATCCTGGATTTCTAGCACTGCAGTAACTCAGAATGGAAATAAAAGAGTTAATATTTATTCTGTGCTTCAAGCACACAATCATTATCACTGTTGTCAGAAAGTCGGCATTCAGATGCCACTTCAGGATTAGAGAGAGACCATTAGTTGTAGGTGTGCAAACCACTGTTTTAAACATAGGCAGTTTCAGTAACTACCAACAAACATGGCAGTATCATACATGACAGCTCAGCTAAAAGATAAGCAGTGTGTTCTTAATAACTTACATCTGGAGCCGCGGTGTGGCCGAGTGGTTAGAGCACAGGACTGGGATCCAGGATTCCCAAGTTGTCTTCCTGGCTCTTCCACTGACTTGCTGTGTGAATTTAAGACAAGTCACTCCAAAGCTCTGTGCCTCAGTTTTCTCATCTGAAAAAAATGGACATCACGCTTAGACACATCAACAGTGTGTGTGGTGGGAGTCAGATTGGTAATGCTTATAAAGCATTTTTGGATCTTTGGAAGGATGCTGCTATGGAACTGCAGTGCTTTCCTATCAACACTGTTGTTTATATACTGTTTTTATTTCAAATGTACTGGATTGCAAAACAATCTGCTCCAGTCCCTGCAGGAGTGCCACCACTACTGGTAGGATGGGTGCTGTTTAATAATGCATAGTAACACTGTAGAACCCCTTAGGCCAAGAAGTGAAAAAAAGTACTGGACGTGGCTGAAACTTTAAGGTATCCAGGTTGTAGCCGCATTGGTCTAGAGTCAAAAGGAAACAGAACTCAGAATTCAAGGAGGCAATGGAGGGATCCTACTGAAAATCAGCTGGGACTTGAGGAGATCTTTAACCCTAAGTGACCTGAATCTCTACTTTAACATGCAACCTGAAAAACAATGCCTCCAGTACCATCAGTGCCATGGCAAGTAAGTTTGGCACCTGGGGCAAAGCCCGCAGTGGCAGCCTGCCCTCGCCCTACGCATCGATCCGGGGAGGCACATGCCCCCCACCATGCTTGCCCGCCTTCCCCCGTCCCCGAGCCCCCACAAATGAGCCGCTAGCAGCTTCATCCTGTGCCCCACCCCAGCTGGGCAGCGCCTGTTGCTTCGGCGCCCACCCCGCTCACCCGCCTTGCTACGGCACTGAGTACCATGGTTTCTCCTCCCGTCAAGCTGGGTCTCTGGTGCTGACCTGACCAGCGAGAACACTGCCTCTCAGTCAGCGACTACTGTCTGCAGCATGCTGATCTTTTAGGGGGTTCTCCAGGCCAAACACCAGCAAACTGCAACGGGGAATACCTGCAGAAATCATGTTTATGTTTCACCTTCTATATCAGCTTTTCTCCTCATAAATGTCTGTCTCAGAAAAAGATGGATCAATAGACCGGCTCTTCAATTTTAATAGTGGAAGAGGCCATGCTGACAATGCAAGTCCATTCTTGCCAGGCCTTGGGGACAAGGTTGTCTCACTAATTTCAGTGGGATTTCTATGCAGAAAGTGGTTGCAGGATTGGATCCTGAGGGGAAAAATTTACTGGTTGAAAAGGGGAAGAGTTTATGTGTTTTACACACTGGCAACACACCAGTGCCTGGGCAAGAACAGTATGTGAAGTGCAAAGCAGCCTGCTGGATCAGTTCATGAGTGGAGAACTTGAAACAGATCAGCTCTGCTTTGCTCTCTCCAGCTGAACAGTGTTTTTGTGGCACTGGGAATTTGCTGTGGCTTCTGAAGATTATAGGGATATGCTTCAGCGAGCCAAAAAAGAAAAAAGAAAAGGAAGGCATAAACAAAAATTTTTAAAAAGGAAAAAAAAGAACGGAACAGAACAGCTGATCTCCTTGCTGGAGAAGACACTGGCATCTTCCTACACATGCACAATTTTTTTGGTATTTCCTGATTCTCCAGCAGAAAAAAAAAAATCATCACAAAACTTCTTTTTTTCTTTGGGAAGGGAATAGCAATGTTTCTCTTGCTGGTTCTTAAAGCTTGGTGGGATATGTAGTTGAGATTAACAGGTCAAAGAGGTTTATGATTGGGGGGGGCCCTTCAAGAGACTGCTAACTTCTTTCTGGCTCTCCAGATGGTCGAAACTGTGATCATAAAATAAGGGGTTTTGGGAAAATGTCATGAGAGCTCTTATGTAAAGGATTGGATTCTGTTCCCAATGACTTTAGTGGAAGCAGAGTAAGGCATAAACTCTGGTTTTTCATCTGAAATCTGAAACAAGGGTTGAAAACCTAGTGTGTAAAGGTCTGGAAATAAAAAAGCTCTCTCTTTCAACAGAGATGGGCTAAAATTTCAAAATCTGGATCTGAAATGTTGATGGTACCAAAATGCAAGAGTACCTGGATGTGTGGTTTTGGCTCAGCCAAGTCTTACTGATCCCCCTGGATCTTTTGAAGAATGAGACAAGGGGTTTGAAAAGGAGGGTGACAAGTGCAAGATGGTGGAATCACAAAAATCAGTTTGGGTTTTGAGAGATTAAAATTGTAAATCTAATTAGCTGGAGGAAATTGGCTGCTTATAATTTTCATTTTTTTTGTCAAAGAAACACTAAAAATAAAAAATAGAAAATGGGAAAATTAATGTATCAGTAATTAGCTAATCAGAAAATGTTCTTGTTCTAAAAGTAAGTGATTTTCTATCCATTTTCCCAAACATCGTAATATTCACCTAAGAGTTAGGAAAAAATATAGGACATTTCCCCTTCAATAGTGCTTTAATAGTAAACCCCTGAAAATCTGCTCTTTTGCTGAATGTGCCATCTTACCCCTAACTATAATAAATACATAATAGATAAATGTATACTTGCAAAAACAAACCAAAACTTTGAAGCTTGATATGATCAGTCTAAGGAACAGAAAGTCTAAAGTGTGCAATTAGAAGACTGTTCTTAAATTGGAGCACGCCATTTTACCATGTCATTCAACTGGAGTCTCTGGTATCTGAAATCAGGAGGCAACTTATCAAACTAAGGGACAATCTGTGCCTCCTGGGAGCAGTCTTCTAATCTTAGGCTTGTAAGTCACACTGGTGCACTAAAGAGACCTGTTATACAAGCTGGTTTCCCCCTTGGTGACCATCCACAACTGAGCGGGGCTGAATTCTGGCTGGTTTTTAACAAAAATCCAATGGGAGCAAACAAATATAACCCTGGCTTCAAGTTATGCTAGCAGAGTTTCACTGGCCATGAGTTTGGCCTATTCAGACCATCACTGACCTGCTATATCAAATATCCAGCTACCATACTTCAACTATAATTTTCAGAGGCTACCAGAAAACATTCATTGTTTGATGCACACATGCATCTATTCCATCACCATTTGTGTTTATACTTGCCTTGAAATGTTGTGCAGACAAGTTAAAGAAAAAGCTCAGGCAGGTGTGTTTTTTAGAAGCTGAGCTCACCACGTACAATTGGTCAGGGATGGTAAGGTGGCATATAAGCCTTTTCCAGTGTACCTATACAGGCCTCCAACTATAACCTTCTCCTTCATCTCTCTACTGATTATCAAGTCACGGGTGGCTATGAGAGATCTCACAAACAAATAGCTAAAGCTATGACTATTCAGAACATTGGTGTGTGCGTAGAGCAACAAAGAACATAATGTACTGGGCATAAGCAGTATACCATTTTTAAATGTTCATCACACTTATTTCAAAACCAAATTTCTTCCAGCAAAGCCCACAACTCTTCATGCAGGACCACGATTATGCCTATGTATGAAATGTTAAATAAATCTTGTTTAGTAGATGGGGTAGAGAGAGAGAAAGAAGAGGGGAAGAAAAAAAAAAGAAGAAAAACAGCCTTTAAAATGTTTTAAGTAGTTAAAGATTTCATTTGAGCTCTGATGTCCAAAAAAAAGGGAAACAGGCTTTCTTCAAATTGCTGAGATTGAATACAAGATATTACAACCCCAATGGTAATTTTCTGAGGAAGTTATAAGCAGATGAAAAATAAAGGTTCAGAATGGAAGTGCTGTCTCAACCGTAGTTATAACATCTCTATTGTAGTGAGTATGTGCCACATACAGTATACTACAAGATATGCACACAGATCTTTTTTTTTTCCAGTTTTCAATAGGTATTGCAAGTGATGGGCCTAATCCTCATGTCCCATCTCTTTTTTAATTAACCCTTATGCAAACAAATTCCCATCTGATTTCAGCCAAAAACTGTTCAAGTCAGGTTAAAAAATGAGTAGGGACATAAAGATTTAGCTCAATATACCTAAGGAAACACTGAAAACTATTACCTCTGGATCTGTCACAAAAAGTATACATTTTAGTAGACAACGTTGGAGAAAAATGCATTCACGTATTAACTCAAATACAATATAGTAAGAAAGTGGCATGGTGCAAATATCTGCAAATCCATGCACACAGGTGTCATTGATATAAAGTACAGAAAACTACTTGTATATATGAAACACACATGTACTTTCCATTTGAGGGTGGCAACCAGCCAGAGCACAGCAGGCCGGAGAATTGTTTGGGGGAGGAGGTGGGGGAGTGAGCACTGGGAAACCAAGTCAAAGCCTCTGACTCTTATGAAAAGTGCTATGAGTACTTTAATGTTCCTAGATAGCAGCCAGGACCTTGCTTTTTAAAGTCTCATCAAACACATGCAAAAATACATTGATTTGCAGGAAAAATATAACAATATTCTCAGCATGGGGAGAGCTGTGTGAATAACTGATTTTTTAGTTTGCTGGCAAAGGTGGGTGAAGAAAAAAAAAACACCTTATTCTCGGAAATGTTTTCTTCTCCCTGTTGAAATTAAAAATAAAGCTACATATGGACGTTGTTTCGCATAATGAAATGTTTTATTGGGGGGGTGGGATTTTTTACTTTTCATTTAAAATTAAATTACAGGGAATTGTGAGATGAAACAGCATTTCAAAAAAGAAAAAAGGAACTGTTTAATTTGTAGTATCACAATAATTTTTTTTTCTTCCTTTCCTGTTTTTTTTTTCGTGACTGAAACAATATAACTGCTTTTACATTAGTCCGTGGATTTTTTGGTGACTCAAGCACACATTTTCAAGCAAAAAGTTTTGCCCGGCTCTAAGTAGGAGTAAACAATTGTTAAAACCTGTGCAAGTGGGGAACCCAATTTTTTCACTAAACCAAAATGTACTTCTCTCCCATCAATGCTATTTCCAGAACGACCGTCCATCTGATTGTACACGCCTGATTTCCAGCTGCTGTGTTACCCCCGCCATCCCATCATTTGCCACCCATGTTTGGTTTCAGGCAACTTCAGTCGCAGCAAACACAACCCAGGTCTGATCGGTATCCTGAACATTGATTCTGTATTCCCTGTGCAGAATATTTTCTTCTCCTATCAGCCTCTGCCTGAACTTCCACTGTTGCTTTTGTGGATGCATAACAGCTTAGCAAACAGATCATTATCCATGAAG